TAACATTTGTATATTTCATATTTTGGAGTTTTTACCATTTGAATTTTTTAAATTTTTAAATTTTTAATTTTTAAATTTTTGGATATTTGATAGCTTGAATTATTGTTAACGATATTTAAATTTTTTAATTTTACGTGTTTAATATTTTAATATTTGAAATTTTGGATTTTTTATTTTCTGAATTTTTGGAATTTTCAATTTCTCAATGGGATGTTTTAAATTATGAATGTTTTAATTTTTGAATATCTGAATTTTTGATATCTGTATTGAACATTTGAATTTTTTATATTTTGGATTTTTTAATGATTTGAAGTTTAATGTTTGGTGCTTTTAATATTTCATTTGAATATTTGGATTTTAGAATATTTGGATCCTTGATATTTTGGATTTTTGAATTTTTAAAACTTTGGATATCTGAATATTGGATATTTGAAGTTTTGAATATTTAAATTTTTTATATTTTGGATATGGAAATTTTAGAAATTTGAAAATTTGGCGATTTGAAAATGTTTAAAATTTTTTTTAATATATGAAATTTTGGAATTTTGAAATTTTGGAGTTTAATTTTCGAATTTCTGAATTTGGATATCTTAACATTTGTATATTTCATATTTTGGAGTTTTTACCATTTGAATTTTTTTAATTTTTAAAATTTTAATTTTTAAATTTTTGGATATTTGATAGCTTGAATTATTGTTATCGATATTTTAATTTTTTAATTTTAGGTGTTTAATTTTTTAACTGAAATTTTGGATTTTTTTTTCTGAATTTTTGGAATTTTCAATTTCTCAATTGGATGTTTTAAATTATGAATGTTTTAATTTTTGAATATCTGAATTTTTGATATTTGTATTGAACATTTGAATTTTTTAATGTTTTGAAGTTTAATGTTTGGTGCTTTTAATATTTCAATTGAATATTTGGATTTTAGAATATTTGGATCCTTGATATTTTGGATTTTTGAATTTTTTAAATTTTGGATATCTGAATTTTGGATATTTGAAGTTTTGAATATTTAAATTTTTTATATTTTGGATATTTGGAGTTTTTAATTTTTAGATTTTTTAAATTTTGAATTTTTGATTTTTTTTATTATTGGTTTATAATTTTATAACTGTTGAATTTGTGTATTTTTGAACTATTTAATAATATGTTGTTGGCCAAATGAACATAAATATAATAGAAATTTTCTACATTATATACAAATTATTATAATTTTTTACCTTTAGCAGAAAACTTTTTTAGGGACGCCTACGAAACTCATTAAATTTTATTGCCAGGCGTTTTTTTGCATGTTCAACTGACTTCAGAAAGACTATACCAGTAAAGTTACATTAAGCATGTAATTTACCAAACGTAAATTTACAAGTCGATCTATGTATATTTACGGCACCTGCCGTGTAATTTTACTAGAAACACTACATTTTTAAGAAGCAAAAAAAATCAATGTATTACATAATATTACGTTGTAACATTTCTACAAAGAATATAAAGCATATTTTATTTACAAGCTTATTAAAATGAATTAAATCTAGTACTGATCATGGTGTCGATAAAGAAGGGTGTTAATTTATTTAGAGTATCATATAAACTTGTGATCTGCTAGACCGTTAGCAGAGTTCTCTGGTTGAGCCAAAACAGATCAGTGCAATTTAACGCTTTTACTTGTATATTTACAATGAATATAGTAAAACTGCGTGAAGGATTAGAAAGATTTTAAAATGTTAATGTAAAATTTTAATATGCACCTAAAACCGTAATTCTACGCAATGCCTGCATAAAAACCGTGTAAATTTCTACAATTTGTGTCAGTATACACACACGTGCAGAGAAAGATAGGAACGTTTTTGTTCTAGATTTTAATGTCAAAGGCGCACTAGCATGTTACGCGGTTGCACCAAGCCGAACTAAAACACTAACGCAATCGGGAGGGGCCCTTTGTGGCCCTGTGTGTGTCGGGGCACCTCAAAGCTGCGCCAATTATTGGAGCTGATGGGATTGCCGTTACCGTAAATGGCCTCCCCGTAAAATTCCCGTATCAATTTGGAGTTTACTTTTCACTCAAAGTGTCTTTTGTTTGCAACGCTTAATTACCGGCCGACTTCTCCGTGCGAGACGAAGGAAAGGAGTAAGTAGTCGTTGGAGTTTATTTTTGGCGAAACGGGGGAAACGGTTTTGGACTCGATGGAGAAATGAGTTTGTTAATTTGCCGGCAGTTTTAGTACAAATGGGGAATTATCGCAGGCGGCTGGATAGGCATTCGGCGGCAGCAAATTAGAAAATCCAATGTAAATCCCTGATGAACAGATCTAATCAAAAGCTTATGTTCGGAATATTACGTGAGAAAATGATAATTGTACCATAGTTGTTGTTTTATTTTGAAGGTATTAAGCTAGCTAACTTTATAAACAAGATTCTTAACTGATGATATATGAGCTAATAATAAAATGCATATCCTTAAAAAGGGAATTTATCAAAAAGGGCAAATATTGTCCACGTAGAACTCATAGAAGGCAATATCTTTTAGCCATAAGTAGAAATTGATTAACCCTAACAAAAAATATCTGCTTTAAATAGGCTCCACAAAGGTTACGCTATTATCATAATAATTAAAATAATAATAATATTTTAAAACAAATTTCAACATAAAATTTCAAATCTCAGAAAAAAACTGATAGTCTCATATTCCATGTCTGATTCTTTGATTTTTCAGATCATTTAAACATAAATATTCAGAATCCTTCATCAGCTTTTTCCAAAAGCAGAAATGGCGTGATGACTTTTATATTAAAGTGACTTGGAAAAATTATTTATACCGGTATACATTTTGAAATTTATTAATTATTGGGCGTGATTTTATTGTTGGAAAGTCTTGGGAATGATAATACAAAAGGCGTCTCATCAAATGGGTCATGAAAAAAGTATAGCGTCATTATATATGGCAAAAGATGGACTCGATCAGTCAAATAGTTTTTGCAAAAAGGTCCATTTTCAAATGACTATTCCGGGGGCAGGGTTATGACTAAAACATTCTTTTTGGGCTCATTTTCTTCGAAGGGACACCAAGTATCCTCTAGTTAAAAATTTATTTTTTTTTTCAAATTTAGTTGTAAAAAATTGCAAACTCCGGACCTATTGGTCGCAGAAACTTTTTTTTCTGTTTGTAGATTTTTTTAAAAGCTTTCGAATGGTGTATATAACTTCTTTCAAAAGTTAAAAACCGCGGAGTTATTTTATTTGTTTACCAGGAAAAAAAGTGAATTTTATTTGTTAGCAATTTTTTTACAACTAAATTTGAAAAAAAAAAAATTTAACTAGAGGATACTTGGTGTCCCTTCGAAGAAATTGAGCCCAAAAAGAATGTTTTAGTCATAAACCTGGCCCCGGAATAGTCATTTGAAAGTGGGCCTTTTTTGCAAAAATGGGGTAAATAAATGGAATTTTGAAAAACTATTTGACCGATCGAGCCCATCTTTTGCACATGTCTTAAGGATATAAAAACTCACATTTTGGGAAAGTTTGGTAAGATTTTATTATTTATTTAAAAAGTTATTAACAGTTAAAGAAAAAGCACTTTTTCCGTTTAATTTTGCAATAACTCTTTTGTTTATAAAGCAATTTTAACTTATAAATAAAGCCTCATTTCAAAGGTGAGTTTTTCTAGATCAAATCGTTTGTTGAACATTTTTTGCTAAGATTAATAGTTTTTTTACAATAACGAAAAATGACGAATTTTTGACCTATTTGTTGATTAAAAAAACAATGACGCTATACTTTTTTTCATGTCCCATTTGATGAGACGCCTTTTGTATTATCATCCCCAAGACTTTCCAACAATAAAATCACGCCCAGTAATTTTCACGATTTCTCCATGATTTTTCTCCTTCATTTCCTGGTCTAGTATTGTAAGACGTAAAACTAAGGGTTGTGAACAAATTATAGGAAGTGGTAAAGTAATTTGCTTTTATGAGGTTAGTGTACGGGGTTTTTCGCACAACATTCTACCTTCCTTATATTTTTTTAGTTTTGTATTTAGACAAAAATGATAGGGCTGATTTCGCTTTGTTGTAACATAAATGTTAATATTTACGTTGATAAACCAATACATTTTAACTAACAATTTTCAATAGAAGTAAAATATTTATAGTGTGCTACTGATAACCTCTTAGTAATCAACTTGAATTTTGCGGTGATGATAGACATACATAAACACAGTCTCTTATTGTGTGCGAACACAAAATGTTCGTTTTAAGTATAATTTGTCTTATGATGTGTTCCATTTCACTTGTGTATTCGAATGCGGGTGAAAGAGGTAGAAGGGATACAAATTTAACTTAATGGTTATGTCTTTCATGCTCGATAATTTTGTTAAAACTTTGTGTCGTATTTTCACGTCACTGCTACTTATAACATTTTGCTTTAAAAATAAATAATATTTTAAATCATAAAACATGTTTAATATATTCTAACTTCAGTGGAATTGATATTAACATCGACAGTGTAGAGTTTTGATGTATTTGCGATTGCAATGTAAAAAAATAATTTGAAGGTGGGTTATTTTATAGACTTTGTTGTGAAAATCAGTCTTCAAAATTAGAAATTTTGTAGTATATGTATTTTTGACACTTTTACTGAGTATATGTGTTGGAATAATTTTTAATTAAAGATAGAATAAACTGAAATGTACCTTTTAGATAGTTAAGTTACGCATGTTCATGTTCCGCCAAATTTAGTTAATGATAAACTAATATTTACACTAAGTTGTTCGCGTGTCGCTTTTCGCCACCGTCTAATACCTACACGTACAAGTCCATACGCTAATTTAAACAATTCGTGTGTATACGTACACCCACCTTTATCTTATCTACAGCTCGTTGTGATTATTTATTTTCAATTTTACGCCAGATTATCGCGGAACAATGTACACGGCGACGTTACCTTTGTAATTACAAAATAATATACAACTGATTCCGAATTAATTCCAGTTATGTTTTCCTCAGAATTATCGAGCGGATTCAAGTATATGATCGAACAAGTCGCACCGAGATTTCAGGAGGATGTAATAAGGGTGAGTAAATGTTTGTTTTCGAAAACCGACTTAACCTCAATTTCGTGCGTGGTGAAGTTTCCAGATGTTGTCTAGGAAGTTGGAAAAATATTCGTTTTCGGAATTTTTCGCAATCGTAAGTACTAAAAAAGTGTACTTGTGGATAAAGTGATTTCTATATATTTTTTTCCTCAAAAAGGAAGTAAGATACGAAAAAAATCAAGAGGCAAAACAGTTGTATTTTTAGTTGCTTAATACGAAAAAAAGTTTCAAAAAGCAGTGGCGCACATTTTTTTTTGTCAGAAATATTGGTTAAGGTGCCCCCCGGGACGAGACTGGACTTAATAATTTTAATCTAATTAGGACTAAATTAACTCCATTCTACCATAAATAACACTGTCAAATTTTAATAAAATCGGCTAGAGGATTATTAACATTTTTACGAAAAAACGATTTTTTTTTAAAGTTTAACACCCTGTATCTTGTAAACGAAGCATTACCGGACCTATGTTTATATAAACTTTTCATCTCAGAATCACTCACAGAATCACCCCTTGAAATTTGGCCACGTACTTAAATAACACTCTGTATATGTTGTAACTACATTTAGTCCAACCGAATTACACTTGGAGAAAAAAAAATTGTTACCTGGACTTTTATAAATGGAAATGGTAAAGGGGCTTATGATAAACGAAAAAACAAATAAATGCGTGAGCAGGGGCGGCGGAGGGTTGATTTGGGGGGTTGAAAAGTTATGAAAAACTGTAACATTGGGATTTCTGGCGAAAGTTGACGTCAAACAAAAAAGTATCCAATACAAAAGTTGTAGATCATGCAAAAATTTACAACTTTTGTAGAGGTCACTTTTTAACATAACCTCAAAATTTCCGAGAAAAATGCGAAATACCGGTTATTTTCTGATTTTTCGTTTTTTATTTTTCATTTCCGCAAACATAATTTCATTTTGACGAAACTTAGTGAAAGTATACCTTTCTCTGTCTTAAATAACCTCAAAATTTTTTTTAGATAAAATAAGAAGTTTCTGATATTAATTTTTTTCGGCCTGGAACACTTTTTTCAAAGAAAAATTCTACTTTATAAAATCACATACAGAGTTCTGCCAGTAATCATTTTTTTCGTTTTGCCATATACTTTTTGGTGAAATAAAACAATTAATTTGTAATCACAGTTCAAAAACATGCTCAAAAATGCAAAAAAGTAAAAAATGACTTGCAACAATGAATTTTTCAGTAATTGTTGATAATTTGGTTAAATTAAATAAAAATCAAAAACTGACCACCATTCAGTTGTACGGAAAAAATACAAAAAAACTGTCTCATTGTTTGACCCAAACCTATTTTTGTACAGTATTGCTACATAGTGAAGTCGAATAGTGAATAAATAAAATAAATAATAATTTTTTTTTCTGTAGGATCGATTACTGTACTTATTTTTTTTAAATTAAACGAATTATCAACAATTACTGAAAAATTCATTGCTGCGTCATTTTTTACTTTTTTGCATTTTTGAGCATGTTTTTGAACTGTGATTACAAATTAATTGTTTTATTTCACCAAAAAGTATATGTCAAATCGAAAAAAATGATTACCGGCAGAACTCTGTACGATGATTTTTTTAAGTAGAATTTTTCTTTGAAAAAAAAAGTGTTTCAGGCCGAAAAAATTAATATCTCAGAAACTTCTTGATTTTTTTATCTAAAAAAATTTGAGGTTGTTTAAGGCAGAGAAAGGTATACTTTCACCAAGTTTCGTCAAAATTAAATTATTTTTGCGGAAATGAGAAACAAAAAACCAAAAATCAGAAATGAACCTGTTTTTCGCATTTTTCTCGGAAATTTTGAGGTTATGTTAAAATGTGATCTCTACAAAAGTTGTAGATTTTTGCATGACCTACAACTTTTGTAGTAGATACTTGTTTGTTAGACGACAAATTTCGCCAGAAATCCCAATGATACAATTTTTCATAACTTTTCAACCCCCCAAATCAACCCTCCGCCGCCCCTGCTCACACATTTATTTTTTTTTTAGGTTTATTATAAGCCCCTTTACCATTTCCACTTATAAAAGCCCAGGTAACAATTTTCTTTTTTTTTCCCTCTAAATGAGTTATTTTGATCGGTCCAATTTGGTAGTTTTAATAAAACTTATTCATCAAAGGCCTGTGTATGAATGTATCGATTTCTACTTTTGTCAATATCTTGAACTTTTTTGGATGATATCCAACCGATTTACTTTTCAAATAGACATCAGTTTAACGAAGCTTCATAAAACATCTGTCTCTTCTCAAGATCTCTACCAACACTAAAAATGTAACAAAAGATATAATTTCATTTCTATCTTTGTGCCAAACACGAACTCGACACTATTTTCGTAATATTTCCCCACAATAAATCGAAACAATTAGTTATTTTTAAGTTTTTCCTCGTAAATACCTTCCATTTGTATCTTTCCTTTAACGATTATCGCGGCTCTAAAGAACAAGCGCGTAGAGTACCGTCGTAAATAGAATACATTCTTCTTATCCGTCTGTGGTTGGTTGAAAATTCCTCGAATGTCATAATTTAGACTATGTTCGCGTGCGGCACGTTGTTGCCGAGACCAAAAATAAATTCATATAATCAATTGATTGGGTGTAATAAAATAATCATCAGATAATATAGAACCTATAATTTTAATGCCGTGTTACCAATAATTACTTAAATAAGTTCGTTTCTACACTCGTGGATTACCGCCTTATGGTCAATGAAATATCTGTTTTATGTTTTCTTTCCCCGTTAATTAATCGAAAACGGGAACGAAGTCCCGTAGGTACATTCATAATAGTCCATTTAACTGAACATTGTTTTGTGTTCTGTCATTATTAAGCTTTTATATTCTAATTGTTACTAACATTATTAGATTTGTCATCATTCTGGGTTCAGTATTGTGTGTGCTATTTCAGGCTTTTAACAACGAGGGTGTCCGAAATGCACTAATGCACAACAAAAACCATTATAATCACAAAATGGATAACATTTTAGTCTTCATAGGTGACACGAAAATGTAAGTATCAAATAGTTACGTTTGTATCTACTGGTACTTTTGCGTTTTCAAGAATGGAAGCTATTAAATGTCCATTCGAGAACGCAAAAGTATTTGTCGTTCGAGATGCAAACAATATTTTTTCGAAAACTGCAATAAAATAAGACAATTGTGTTATATACAATAACTTAATTTATATTTGAAATCGTTTGAACCGTGTCTGAATCAAGACGGTTTAGGCGCAGTGACTATCATGACGATAGCAACCTAAAAAACAATAAAAATTAGTTGTTTGTTGAAAAATAATGTCAGAATTATACTGTAATTCATATTCTAAGAGTGTTTAATTCAAAAGGAGGTCGGAAAGTGAAGACGAGCATTTACCAGGATAAGTATTGGAAGCGGCACAAAGTGCTGTTTCATAATCAGAGAGCGGACAATTAGTGTCTTTAACTTTGAACATAGATATGTCATTCATAAACATAGAACATAGATACATTATCCATGACGCAGTGGCGTGTCGGGTATGCATCGGGAATTTACGTGAAAATTCTCGAAAATTCCATGGTACATATATTTTTAGGCTTTATAAAATATTTAGAAAATCAGGAATTATATAACTACATATTTATTAAATAAAGTTCAGTTAAAAATAGTGTCGTTTTTTTAATTGGAAATTAGGAGTTAATGTAACGAATTTCCTCAGGCGACGCACATGATAGAATAGGCCCTTAGATACTTGAAAATTTAATCACATATAAAAGGTCTCTCAAGCTTTCAAATGCTTTTAGAAAAATTCGAATCCGTCAATTACTAGAGCTCTGGCGCTTGTTTAAACATTGGTCGAATTTTTGTACTATAATTTTGTATTTTTGTAATATAATGAGTTAATTTCTCATTTGCTTATATTTTAAGCAGTAAGAAATGATGATTAAATTAATAATTAATTAATTAATTAATTAATTAATTAATTAATTACTTATTTTCGACATATGTTGAAAATAATTGTTGTTTAAACAATTTTAGAATATTTAAATAAATTTGTTTTTGATCTTTGATAAACAGTATATAAGTTTATGCACTTACCTTTGATAGAATACAAAAATAAAGTTGATAATTAAAGGAAGTTTGAAGATAAATAATAATTATCGGACTGTTGAAAGACCAATTATTATATAACGATAGGCATTTGAAAATACGCTAATTGTTTTTTTTTAAATCGCGAGACATCGATTTAAAAAAAAAATCATCAAAATCGGACCTCTAGAAGCTGAGATATTAAAAATTTTTAAGCGCGTCGCGGTTTTGAACTCGCCGATTCAATTTCGAGCAGGCCGAAGCGGCCGCGCTCTCTGCTTCCCCCACCACCACCACCCGTACGATTTTCTTGAATTTCTCGCTTGCATAAATAACTTTAAACACGTTTTAAAGTAGGTTGCCAATGAAGAAAAGTATTGCAAACTTAGACCTGGTAAGTACTCGGAATACCAAAGGTATTTTTCGAAAAATTAGCCCGGATGTCCCAGTACATTTAGTGTAAATGACGGTTAACTTTGATCGGCTATAACTACGTAACTAATTGACCAATCGATCTGTTTTTTTTTAAAAAAGCGTCTTTCTAATAACTTTTAAAACCTGCTTTAAAAAATTTGATTTGATTGAATATTCACAAAGTTCTAATTGTTTATAAGTACAAAAATTCGACCAATGTTTAAACAAGCGCCAGAGCTCTCCTAATTGACGGATTCGAATTTTTCAAAAAAAGTTTGAAAGCTTGAGAGCCCTTCTATATGTGATTAAATTTTCAAGTATCTAAGGGCCTTGGTTTTTGCTGTGCAAAATTTTGAAAATTTGCAATTTTTTTTTCAAAATCTGGATTGCAAAATTATTATGCAAAATCTATAGAACCGATTTTGATGAAATTTGGTGTGATGATTCTACATAACATGAAGTTATCTTGAGCCAAGTATGAAGGTCCTATACCCAACTTAAAGACCCCAAAAAAAATTCCTAAAAAATAATGTTTTGTAATCCCAATTTTGGCGATTTTTTCGATTTTTACAATAATAATCGTGATTCATTCGAATTGTGACTAGTCATATTTTGTAAAATTTAATTACAAACATTTTTGTCCTCTTCCATTTTCGCCTAAAATCAACTCTTGAAAAGATACATAATTAAATAAGAAGAAAAATATGACATTTTTCGATTTTTTTAACATATTGTGCCGCCAACAGTTAAGCCCAAGGTTTTTGTATGCGCATAGAAAAATGTTCATTTCTAGTGATATTTGAAAGCCAAAAAGTCAAAAATCTCGGTGGATATACGATTCACCCAAATATGGACTCTTTGAAACAGATACCGTGTGGACTATAATTAATTCCCAAAAAATCGTCGAGGCAGTTCGAGATTGCCTACAACGAATTGAAAAGGTGTAGTTCGAAGAAAATTCAAAAAGTGTCCGAAGCGGTATTACTGGCATATTTCGAACAAAAAGTTAATAAAATTAAACCTTCGACGTTATGGTCGGTATATTCCATGTTAAAAAGTACGCAGAATGCCAAAAAAAATGTAAATATCAGAAAATTTCCAAAACTAATACCATATTTGAAAAACAAATCAGTTGGATACCGTCCGAAAAAGTCCAGAATTCTAACGAAACGAAACAAAAAAAGTTGTTTTATACCTTGAAGATTTTTGAAGAAAAAGTTGCGATATTGAACTTTTGCGATTTTGAGTCGTAATATCTTAACACTAGTTTTTTTATATTAACAGAATTTTTTGATACGGCAGATATACCAAATATAGCGATCAGAACTGAATGACTATCTATTAATACTTTTCTTGTTCGGTTTCTATGATTACTTACCCACAATTTTGACTCCGCTTTTTCGTCACTGTTAACAATTACTTCGAAGCAGTTTTCTAAAAGATATTTTTGCAACACAGAAGTAAAGACAACTATTTGCAATCTTCCTTGATTTCACCGTCTATTTTCCTCCTCCAGAGAGTTGAGCAAACTCATATTCCCATGGACCCCCGACTTTCGAATAGTCAACTTGACCATGAACTTCTCCATGCTATGTCTGGACGTCAACTTGAAGCTAGGCGACCTCAGAGTGAAGGGAGACTTCGAGGGCTACAATATCACTTTGCAGAATCTGCTGCCCGCCATCCTCGCTGGAAAGATTGAGTAAGTGCTAAAGATTTGGATGACGAATTGATGGAATTTATGAGAGAATATCGTAAGGCCGTTTTGAGTTACAACTGGTAGAGTTTGTCGGGAAACCTCCAAAGGAGATGGTATTTTAAGTTGTTTGATTCGGCTTGTTGAAAAATAAGACTAAAACTAAACTATTATCGAAATTAATTGGAATATTATTTGAACCAAACCAACAAACACAAATAATATTGCTGTTTTGAATCGAATCCTTTTTGTACTAAACAATTTTCACGATTTTTTTTTAACCCTCGAATTTATTCCACTGTTCCACTAAAGCTTACGTAAGTTTTCAACGACAGACCCATCTATTGTTCAGTCTCGAGGAAAAAGAAGAAAAATGTATTACCGAGGCGTCGATTTAAATGGAAATTAATGCTTTTCCTCACGGCTAGCGAATCCAAACCAAAAACACCGGATACCGGTGAAAATGGAACTGAATTAAGTTGTTTACTTAACATTTTCCAAACATCGAATCGTGTCCGGACTGATTAAGCGGATACTGTAACAATTTCTCGTTTACAAAATGTAAATCGATGATGTCGATTGTGTAATTATCGGCACTGGTTACTCGAAAAGCTAAAAGCGTGCGTGGAATTCGCTGGAGTTTTGCAAACGCATAGGGAAAATACTTTCCATCCGTTTGTTAAACATTCCCGTAAAAAAAGATTCGAAATTAAATGTGGTCGCAACGCTCGGAATTGTTAAAATAATTATCTATCTTTTGGATAATGTATCTGATAAAGTATTTGGGAACATTTTCTGTTACGTGAATACAGGGTGATAATAAAATACACAGCCAATCTCGAATAGAAAGCAAAGGAAGCTTTATTTACGTAAACCGTTTCCTAGTGCCATGTTGTATTTAAAATTGCTCCATTTTTTGCAGACAGACATTCAAAGATGTCGTGGCCACAGGTAGGATAGGATTCCTGATAAGGGGAGATTCTATGGTACTTACAAACTATGATATTAAATACGAACCCTCAGAAACCGATATCTCCGTAAGTTTCATATGGCTTTAAATCCTATCGAATCCTGTATCGATATAATTACGATTTTTTCCAGGTCAAATACTACGCCAGCAACGGGAGCGAGGTAGAGACTAAACGTACGAAGCAAAACAGCGGTAAGTAATTTAGTTTTTAATGTATTTTCAAATTTTTGTTAATCGATTTTTTGTCTAGGTGTTTCTGATAGGTGTTTTGAAAAAAGTTTAATGTTTGAGATCGAAATTCTTTTACAAATTACAGCTTGCTCGATTGAAAAAATAAAAGTCAAAAGTTATTTTTCAGTATTTGAACTTAGTGTTTCCAATTTTGAAATCGAATATGTACTGCAACTTTTGAATTGGTTGCGGAACATCGGAAGCCTGCGTTCGTTGCTAATCGCTTACATATTCCCGATATCCTCCGTCTATATATGAGACATATTATGACGGAATTCATGTCGGAAAACGGGGAAAAAAGACTTTTATAATACTCTGTATCGTGCGGTTCAAATAGAATTTTTCCTAGGGGAAATTATGTTTTCCGATACATACCCACGCGCACGGAAAATGTCAACCGTACAAAAACCAGCAACGATATTAAGCCGCGTTCTTATTTTTATTGCCTTATAAGTTAACCCCGTGACCTATGTGGGGGACGAGTACAACGGCCAATTCCCTTCCGGCGTTTGAAGATTTCGCTTCCCAAACTATAAAAATAAAGGTGTAATTTCTAAAAAATTTCAATTAATTTAGAGAAATATATTGGTTTATAGAGAATCGGGTCCAACGACAAAAAATGCAGCCAATTTCGTATCATGAGATAAATTATTCTTGCAATGAGAATTCAAATTCTGTGAATTCTCGAATTATTTATGGTTTTGTTTTTATTTTTAATTAATGCCAAAAATTTGTATATTTAACATAGGCTCCTTTTTTTAGTTCGATCCGCTTTTCCGAGAGCTTCCACGCGCTAGGGGAGCGCAAACTTGAAAAATAATTGCATTTCGATAGCGGAATATTAAAATCTGGCGCTTCCTCGTGCTCCTCCCAGCGACTCTATTAAACTTTTAGCGACTTCCGCGTCGAGTGAGTGCACTCAAAGGTGTGCCTAAATCTGTCGCGGGGCACGTTAATTTTTTATGGGCGCCCAAAATCTGGAGACCCGGAATCGGCCCGTTATTAGGGAGGCGCGGTTCCTGGGGGGGCGATTAATATGTAAAACGGAAGTTTGCGCCGCTCCGGGACGGATTAACCCTAATTTGTACCTCGCGCGGAGCGTGCGCCACGTAACCGAAATTCGGTAATTTTGTTGTTAGAAATGATCAAAAATACCCTCATAGAAAAAGAAAATCACGATTCGAGGCCTTTGTTAAAAATTTGTTTACTTCTTAGCTTTATAATCCACATATTTTTTTTCTTTAGAAACTGTGTTAATTTTGGAAATTTTGCAGTTTTTTTACGAAAAGGTGCCTTCGGTACAAACAATTCAAGAGTAAGTTTTCCTCTTCTTTTCAGAAAAGGACTCGCTAAGAGACGCCGTATGGGTCGAGCTAAGCGATATTTTAACTCGCCTATTACACTCACAACTGGGCGAAGTACTGGTGGAGCGTTCTCTAACGGAGTTGTTGTTGGGCGAAGACGAAAACTTAAGGTGAGTTTTTTTTTTATTTGAAGGTGGCGTAAATATTTAGAAAGAAAATTTGTTGCAAATAATTTATCAAGTACGTATAAAATAAAGCAGTTTCAACTTTTACATGAGGCCAAGTAACGGTTCTAAAGTAACGATTCCAAAGTGACGGTTCCGAAATCACACTCGCTAAGTAACAATTCCAAATAACGGTTTGAAAGTAACGATTCCAAAATAACTGTTTAAAAATAACAGTTCCGAAATAACGGTTTCAAATTCACGGTTTCAAAGTAACCATTTCAAATTAAGGGATAAAATTTCAAAGTAACGGTTGGAAAGTAACAGGTTCGTAATAACGATTCCAAATGAAGGTTTAAAAGTAACAGTTTCAAAATAGCTGTTTAAAAGTAACGGTTCCGAAATAACAGTTACAAGGAATGCTTCCAAAACAACGATTCTAGGCCCGGCAAGAGAACGGTTCCAAGGAGCGGTTTCAAATTCACGATTCTAAAGTAACGATTTCAAATTAAGAGTTAAAATATAACGATATCAAAGTAACAGTTGGAAAGTAACGGGTGCCAAATAACGATTCCAAATAACGGTTTAAATGTAACAGTTCCAAAATAACTGCTTAAAAGTAACTGTTCCGAAATAACGGTTTCAAATTCACGGTTTCAAAGTAACGATTGCAAATTAAGGGTTAAAATATAACGATTTCAAAGTAACGGTTACTTTTAACAGGTCCGAAATAACGATTTCAAATAACGCTTTAAAAGTAATAGTTCCAAAATAACTGTTTAAAAGTAACGGTTCCGAAATACCAGTTACAAGGAATGCTTCCAAAACAACGATTCTAGGCCCGGCAAGAGAACGGTTCCAAGGAGCGGTTTCAAATTCACGATTCTAAAGTAACGAATTCAAATTAAGAGTTAAAATATAACGATTTCAAAGTAACAGTTGGAAAGTAACGGGTCCGAAATAACGATTCCAAATAACGGTTTAAAAGTAACAGTTACAAAATAACTGCTTAAAAGTAACTGCTCCGAAATAACGGTTCAAATTCACGGTTTCAAAGTAACGATTGCAAATTAAGGGTTAAAATATAACGATCTCAGAGTAACGGTTACCTTTAGCAGGTCCAAAATAACGATTCCAAATAACGGTTTAAAAGTAACAGTTTCAAAATAACTGTTTAAAAGTAACGGTTCCGAAATAACAGTTACAAGGAATGCTTCCAAAACAACGATTCTAGGCCCGGCAAGGAGCGGTTTCAAATTCACGATTCTAAAGTAACGATTTCAAATTAAGAGTTATAATATAACGATTTCAAAGTAACAGTTGGAAAGTAACGGGTCCGAAATAACGATTCCAAATAACAGTTTAAAAGTAACAGTTCCAAAATAACTGCTTAAAAGTAACTGCTCCGAAATAACGGTTTCAAATTCACGGTTTCAAAGTAACGATTGCAAATTAAGGGTTAAAATATAACGATTTCAAAGTAACGGTTACTTTTAACAGGTCCGAAATAACGATTTCAAATAACGCTTTAAAAGTAATAGTTCCAAAATAACTGTTTAAAAGTAACGGTTCCGAAATAACGGTTGCAAGGATTGGTTCCGAAACGACGATTTTAAACGAAAGTAATAGTTCTAAAGAACGGTTCTAAGTAACCGTTGCAAAGTACCGGTTACAATCGCGAAAAAACTTAATACGTGCAAATTAGCTTATTTTGCCTTTTTCCCGCATCATTTTAGTTGTCTCATTTCTTGTTCCTTTTTACATTTGATTCTGGTTCGTCTTTCGTAAGTTTATTTCAATATTCCTCCTACAGCTGAGGACCATTTTACAGCAACAGTCCCTATTTAGAATGTCTAGCGAAATTGTACTTTCATGATTTTTTTCATATTTTCAAATCGTTCCATCGTTTCTTTGAACGAAGTTTTTCCATAGCCGCAAGCGGTGTGTGTTTATTACACAGTTTTCGTATAATTTGTATCCTACACTTGTTACAAAACTCGGGAAATATTAATAAAATCTGGGCAACTATTTTGCAAAGGCGAAGTCGAAACAATTTCAAAAGTTACCTCTTGCTCGAATTCAATTTTAAAACCAATATAATACATCTCGAGCTCCCTCCCCGGTTAATAAAATTTTAACCGCTACCACTAAAATAACGTCCTACTAGTTATCTGCAAAGGCCAGGTACTCGCCCGCTTTATGAAATAATAAAGTTACCTCGGTTTGTTTTATTTACGACGGAATTATTATGATTTATTTTATTGGCATTTCGAAGTCGGGCGTATATTTAATGTGTGTGCAGGGCGTAGAGAAAGAAGTCGTTAAAAGTGTCACTTCTGTCATCGTCCTAGCTAATAAAAACTCCCCTAAGGGACGTTCCTGTCTTAATCAGTGGCGGTCCGTCGTCTTGTGCCAAGTAATGTGCACATAACTTAGGTTCTTTCATTATGTTTTTTTTTCCAACATAATTTTCTAATACAAGATGATTTATGAATTTCAAGTCTCAATATTACTAACTGCGAATGCGATTCGCGATACAAATGAGCCCAAAGAAAGTTATTCTTCAAGAAAATATGTAAAAATAACATAAACTGCTTTACAGCGGAGGCAAAGTTTTTTTGTGGGCCTGTGTTATTTGATATTATTTCATTTCACTTTCAATGTAATCACAGAGCTCTTATTTCATCATCAGGACGAGAATTTCGTCGACTTCCAACAGAATAACTATCGTAGGAGTCAGGTCTTCAAGTTACTCGCTCATCTGTTGCCCCTAGGACTTTCGTAGAGTTTCTATTTTTGCGCGACGCCACGTGGGTGTTAATATACTAAGATTTGCTTACGTGCCGCTATTACTACATTTCTCTTTTAAGGGACAACTGTGTAGCTTCACGATTTTGTTTACTGGCGTGGTGCTCTAATTGAGATTATGGAAGTTGCAGCACGTGGCCTTTTCGAAGACCTGTGTGGGTGAAATGGGTCGTTAGTCGATTCAAATTATGTCTCGGGACTCTGGCCCTCGTGGATCGTATGGATTTTCTTGATTCCTTCATTGTTTTCAGGAAAAAAGGGCTAAATTCTAATATTTTCTGATTTTACTTCAGTTCTGATTTGCTAAAGTTAAAAGTAGCGTATTTAGAGCGTTCATTTTGCATTTGCGAAGGTTTCAGTAATAGGTCGCCTGCGAAAGATAATAATTTCGATTCGATTCCCCACGGGCACTGCGGCGCAATTAGGGAATACTTACAAAAAGCTCTATAAGGATATTTTCCCTTGGGAAAGCGCTATCCGATTAATCACGGTAAAGTCGATGGAAATCATTTTTTTTTAATATATAATGTAAAAGGATTGTAAGCTCTGCCCCCTAGTATATTTAAAAATGTCCGAGGGCGGTTTTTTTATCGATTACCAATTATTTTTTTATAATTATAATATTTTTCCAAACTTTTCGTAGTATTTCATCGAGCTGTTCTCATTTCTTATTGTTTTTTAATAGACGGACGATTCGGTTGCACAAAAAAACATTCTGTACCAACTTATCTGGACTAGACTGACAAAAAGCACGGGGACTTGTTCCGCTTATCATTTTATATATTCATTACTCCCGCGAAGCTCCGGTCCTATTTTATATTCAAATAAACTTTTTTAATATTCCCTTTTACTCTCAAAACAAAGTTTTTTTGACACTAAAGTTTCTAAAAGTCGTGTAAATCCAACGAACGAAATGCTCTCCCAGTTTTAAACTAAACGAATTGTACTCGGTAATTTTTTGAACAGTATGTGAAAGCAGTGGCGGCTCGTGACTTTTTGAGATGGGTGGGCAAAATTTTTTTTTCTCTCATGTAACTTAATATCATATAATAATTGCAATCTACGTTAGTCTATTTACTTTTGAAAGTGTAAAAAACTTAAGAATTATGAAGATAGTTAATATAAATATACCTGAAAATTATATTAGTTATTCCAAAAGTATACCTAATAGTTCAGCAAGAACAAACGAGAATGTCATCACAGTGATTTCTTGCCGGGATAGGGGATAAGGCAAGGATTAAGGCATAG